GCGTGCTGAAATTTTCCACTACAATTTTTTTTGTTACCGACAACAAAATTTTGAATGGTACGAAAAGAAAAATATAGGTGGTAGTTTTATTTTTCTAATACATTTTTTGGGTGGCCCAAAATTTTTCCCTCCAGCCACCCCCAGATCTGAAGAATATCAAAAATAAGGAGACGCGTATTTTTTGAGTGTTTTAATAACACTCTTTGCTAAATAGGGTTGCCAGATATTTCAAAATTTTAAATTATTAAAAGTCAATAAAGTATTTAAGTTTCTTCATCAAAACTAGAAGCGTTTGAAGATATTTAAAAGTAGTTTTGAACTGGTTTTCCACCTTTCTAAAAAAAATAGAACAATGATTATTCAAAATTTAAGCTTATTTAATAACGCAATATGGGTATCACACGAAAGGTGTACGCATAAGATTTGGACTAAAATGTTTTTAAATAGGGTTGCCACCCATCTGTTAATTAAGTTAAGTGAAATTATGCAATATGCGTTTTTGCACATTCGATAGTTTGACATGGTAGCGACGATATCGTCAAACTATCGCATATGAAAATGGGTATTTTTCAGGAGAGCAAAAAGATGGCTGCAAAAAATGTTGCAAGTAGGAAAAAGTGTGGGTTTCGACATCTTGTTAAACCCAGTGTCCTCTGCTACCAATTTGACGATTTGCCAACTTGCGTATCATTCTAAAAGCATGCGCAAGGTATCGTAATTTAATTTTTTTAGATACGTACCGACTCTGTCCAGAAATATGTAGGGGTTAAAAATTTATTTTAGCACATTTTGTTTGAAACTCATATTTTACTTAACCGCATGTAGCATGATTTAATAAATTTTTTATTATAGATAAATGGCAACGCTATCCCAAAATATATGTGAATTAAAGTATGTACTTTCAAAAACTTTACTGGGAGTGCATAAACCTTCCACTTGATAACCATATTGTGGTATTAAGTAAGCTTAAGTTTTTAATAACAGTTGTTGTATTTTTTAGAAAAGTGGCAACCCCGTACAAATATGTTTTAAGTCTACTCAAGCGCTTCTAGTTTTGATGAAGAAACTTAACCATTTTATTGAGCCTTTAAATAATTTTAAATTCCCAAATATCTGGCAACCCTATTTTTACAAAATTTTTTACCACATACACACATAAATATTCGAGTAGAATGAAAAAAATAAAATAAACACGTCCAATGAGCTATTCGTGCATGATGTGGCCATGAAAAAATAAAATAACGAATTTTTGTATATAACAGATAGGATCATCGGTTATTAAAAACTACTTAGTAGAATTTTTAAGTTAAATAAGCATCATAGTGTTATTTTTTGAAGACTTCTGAAGCGAAATAGTCTTATACGATCAAAAAATAATTATATTTAATTATTTAATAGCGATTCTACGAAAAAATATATTTTCCCCATGTAAAATACATGGGAAATTTCAAAGCCCCGGTGGCACGGGTAAACATTAACCGATAAGAAAATAAAAAAATACGTTCTCCTTATTTCTGATATTCTTCAGTTCTGGGGGTTGGCAGCAGGAAAAATTGAAAAAAAAAAAATGATTTTCCTATGTATTTTTGGGCCACCCTAATGTACATATACAAGTCCAAAGGGGAAACAACCCAGTGAAAATGGGAATCCACTACCGTTTTCTACCAAGAAAAGATTAACAACTACATCGCGAGCGGATGATGTGTAGTTTTGAAGCAAAAAACAAAACAAAAAGTTTGAAAACTAACTCATGGAATGGATACGTATTCGACAGCCGTGTTGTTGGTCACGGGTTCAAAACTTGTGGCACGGACTTTATTTTTTTTAATTTTTATTTAAGAATTCTATTTATAGCTTCTATTTATAGTTTCGTAAAGCGATATGCGACACACAGTGTTACCGCTGAAAATTTTTCGAAAGTTGCAAAAAAAGTGTCACAGCCAAAAAAAGTGTCTTCAAGCCATTCAAATTGTTTATACCATGTATGCATGTAAATACTTTCATTATTTTACCTTTCGAAACTTATTAGGGAAAATCGACTCCAACGTTAGTATTAGCTTTTTTTAAAGGAAAATATGCCAAAAACCTGCTTAGAGTAGACTTTATTTCATCTATGACTATGGGGCATAATAAATTGTTAATGGAGATCATCATTTTCTATCAAAAATAGTTTTTTTCTCTTAAAATAATAACCTATTGATGAAGGATATATTAAAAAGACGCAATGTGCATATTTTCAATTTAGTACGAAAAAAATTGCAGTTAAAAAAGTACTAAGTAATCATTAAATAAATAATAAATTTAACACAAATAAATTGGGGGAAATGCTAAGCTCCAAAAGCGGTGCATTAACTCATGCTACTTTTGGACATTTATTCGGAAAATGTTTGACATAACAAAAAGGTTGAAATCAGGCAAAATCTGGCCAGAGGTGTAATTTTCAAGTGCTTTTGAAAAGTAAATACTAAAAGCATTTTTAAACACGTAAGAAAAATGTAATTTATGAAGGAATTGTCAAAATGTGTATATAGAATTTTTAATTAAAGAAAAGGGGCAAAAGTCGCATGATTTTTTGGAAAAGTTTCAAAATAAGCCTATTTTTAGAAATCCGGTGTCAGGGGGCATCGATATCCAAAAAGTGTCTATTTTACGCTTTAGTCGCACAACGGTAACACTGGTTACACATTACTTTCGTATGACAACGCTGTAGAGAAATTCTTACATCTTTTCGTACGTAGGGTAGGGGCTATCCAGTACGTTTTGCATTCCCAAACATTACCTTTTCCCACTGGGATATTGAGGATATGCATATCGAATTTCGCAAAAAAAATCTGGCACACTTCAATACACATATCGCACATTTGCTGCAAGAGTGTCATAATCCAAAAAAAATGACCGCTACCTGTTGTTCTATGTTGTGTAAAAATTTCATAGCTGTACCGATTAGCAGTAGCTTACTAGAACAAAATATGTATTCTTTTTACTGTGAGTGTATGTAAATTCAAAACTTTAAAGCTGTTTTTCTCAAGTTTTTGATTTTTTTGGATTAAGACACTCTTGCAGCAAATGTGCGGTATGTATGTATACAGTCGTTAACAATGTTAAAGCCTTATTTGACTTTTTTTGGAAATATGGTTTTTGTTAACAAAATAGGGGAAATTCCATCGGATTTATTCCGAAACAAAAAACGTATGTATTTTTTATTATACTAGTATCTGTTACTCCGAAATTATAAAAAATTGCGTAAAATGTCGAATGAAATTTCGAAGTTTAACTTCAGAATCGTAACGATTTAGCTCTTAAAGGTCTTGAATAGTACTAAAACCGACTTGCTGTTCGAGGGATATAAAATTGTGAGAAAGATGCAGAGCTACATGCAAATCATAAAAATTGAGGGGTTGAATTTTTTTTTCGTTTTTCTCGTCCCAAAATAATAAACAGTACAAGAAATGTTTTTTTTTTTAATATATCCGTTGGTTTTTCGTGTTTTTTTTCGAAGAACACTATTTTTCACCAACTTTTTGAAGGTCAAGGAGTGATTGTGGCTCAATGTAATATTTTTCCTTGAAAGGCAATTACATTAGCTTTCAAAGCCATTTTGTTTCATATCAAAATATTGCTTCTGTCGAAAGCGCTACGATTAATTGGCATGAAGTGTTAAAAAGCACACTGTATTCCGTCGAGTTAGCTGGAAAATCTTATTTTTCAGTCGAGAAATGTAATTTTGAAATTTTAAAATTATTACGGTGTATTTTTCTAAAAAACATATGACTCAAAATATATGATTTATTAAAATATAATTCATTTATAAACAATATTTAATAAAATAAAATAAAATGTCTATCATAAAATAAAATAAAATGTCTATCATAAAAATCTTGATTCTCAGTTCCCCCCTAAAATCGAGCTCACGATCCGGCCCTGTATAAACTCAATCTCAATCAATCAATTGATCATGGCGATATATGTATGTATTTATGTACATTAGGGTGGTCCAAAAATGCATGTAAAAAAAAAGTAAAGTCGGAATTTTTATGCTCTCACCCCATAGGATTGTTCTATATCAAAAAAAGTATACCCCTATTTTTTTATTTGAAATCAAAAAATATTTAGAGGTCGCCCAAAGCGATCCAGTTTTCCATTTATTTTGTATGGGAAAGAAATAACTTTTCGTGGAAATGGTATGGAATTCTTGAAAATCAACATTTTTCGATCGGAAGACTCTGTTTCTCTTCAACAAATTCCCAATAAATAAACCCAATTATTTCTTTAACAATTTTTTCTTAGTAACTATATTTTATGGGACCGCCAAAACCCCTAGTAAATGCCAGAAAATGCAATGTGGGGATAAATAAAAAATCTTCATTATTAACAAATGGTTAAATAAATAATTGGGTATTGTTATTGGAAGTCTCCTGTAGAGAACCAGAGGTTTCCGATCGAAAAATATTGATTTTCAAGAATTCCATACCATTTCCACCGAAAAGTTGATTCTTCCCATACAAAATACATGAGAAAGTTGGAGCGCTTTAAGCGACCTCTAAATATTTTTTGATTTCAAAATAAAAAATAGGGGTATACTTTTTTCGATATAGAGCAATCCTAGGGGGTGAGAGAATTAAAATTCCGACTTTACTTATTTTGGACCACCCTAATGTACATGCATATACACACATAAGTACATATCCCCACCTAAAGGTGAAAAGGTGCCAAGTCCATTTTTGTTTCTCAAAATTTAGTTTTGATGCGGAATAGCAGGTAATGCGAAACTACATCGCTTTTTCGGTTCTCCTGAACAATTTAAAAAAATGGACTTGGCACCTTTTCGCTCTTAGGTGACGATATGTATGTATGTTTGTGTGCAAATATATAAATATGTAAATGATTTTATACTAAAAATAAATGCGAAACAAAAATTTCATAACTTAACGAGATCATATGAAAAAACCGGCTATGCCGAAATGCTTTATGCTCTTAGTGTTAAAAAATATATACTTAAATTTCAATTGGCAATAACTTATTACTGTGTAGGTAACGTTTTAATGCATAACTAGGATACATACATAAGTATATAAATAAATCTTTGGTATTTACAATGTCACGTGCTTTAAGCTTATTAAAATACAACGGGCCTAAAGTGAATGGATATACGCCTCACCACGGCCTCCACATATTTTCGTCCTGTGGCTGTTGCTCTTGTCGTGCAAGGGCCTCATTGGGGCGTAACAGTTGCAACTGCTGATGTGCGGCTGCTGCGACGGCGAGGCTTGCCGATAATGGATTGCCAACCAGGCCTAGTTGCCCAACTTCTGTTGGTGCTGCGCCAGCTTCTAGGCGTAAGGACTGATTTTGCTGCTGCCCTGTTTTTTGCGAATCTGTTGAAGTCATAGAGCTGACAGAGGTGGATGCAACGGAAGTTGCATTTGAGAGTACAGAGGCAGGACGCTCAGCATTGAGGCTTGCAGTTATCAACGAGGAAGCACTACATGTTGTTAATCCATTTTCCTTCGCTACCAACGTCGTAGCTGCATAAGCAGCAGCAGCATGAGCCGCTTCCAAAGCGCCGGGAAGGGCTCCATAAGTGCTAAGTTTGCTGGCAATTTGAGCTGGCAACGGCGGCACGTGATTCATCTCGATGAGCCGTTCAAAGTCCGTCCGCGTGGTGATGGCATCCATAACGGGATGTGTGTTTAAACCCAGCGCAGCTGCTAATTGGACATAATGTGGCGGAAGCACCAGAATCCCCGTTGGATCATTGACTTTTAGATGTTTGTATGTTTCCAACACATTTGAGCAGAGCTGTGAGAATAAAAAAGAATTTAGGTTTTTAAATTTGTGAATCCAAAAATTTGGGGACAATCTCTCACTTTACTGCGTTCTTCAAAACTCTGAACAGCGTTAATGTCCATTATATTTGGTATGTCAGCACCAGAAATTAATGGCCGAATATTTCCTTCACTTCTGCTCGATCCTGAGCTACCCTGAGCAACATCGGGGTTATTGTTCTCATCCTATACAAATATTTAAATTTTGTATTATCTGTTTTGACTTATTTTGTGCGAATAACAAACAATACTTGAGAACTTAGACGCTCTGAGCACGGAGAATTTGTAGAGTGTGCAACTGGTGTACCAGCGGGACTAACAAACGTTGCTTTGGATGCTAAAACATTTGAGGTGGCTTTACTAAAGTCTAGGGGATTCGAGTCTTGGCTGCTGTAATCCACTGAATTGTCGTCCGCTTGACTGAAATTAAATTTTATATTGTAGTTTGAAATTAGATACATATACATATCGTCACTAGACACGAATATAGGCGCGAGCTCAAAAGTTGACCGCGAAAAGACACATAAAAACAACTTCAACGAGAAACGACTCGTAATGTAGTTGACGGCGAAGAAAGACGCGTTAAAATATTTTACGGCGAAGAAAGACCCATAAACTTATTTCCACGGTCGGCTTTGTTTGCGGGCGTAACAGTATCTAAATTCCCCAAACAGTTTTTAGGGAATGATACTGAAGTGACAGTCCTTGGCCATGTATAAATCTATTTTTACGCGACTTTTTACGCCGTCAACTAGGCTTTTCTTCGCCGAAGTTTTCCATAAGCCTCTTTTTTCGGAAAAATGTTTTTTACGCGTCTTTTTCGCCGTCAAAACACTAGCGCGCCTTTATTGTGTGTAGTGACGATATGTATGTAAATCAATTGAACGTATATTAAGTTGCCTAAGGATATACATTATGACGGGTCAATTTTCAGATTTGCCGAAGAAATCATGGGTGTAAAATCAATTGAGAAATTGCGAAAATAGGTTTCTTTCCCTAATGTACATACATACATATCGTTGGCTTAGTTCGCAAATGTGCTAAGTCAATTTTTTTTAATTTTTCAGGAGGAACAAAATACCGTCTATCTTTTTGTTGCTAATATTTACCTAATCTCATCAGTATCAATAATCGGCCAATTTCAAAATTTGCAGACTTATAGGCTCTTCTACCACATTTTCTCTTTATGATTTTGTTCTTTTAAAGTGGACTTAGCACATTTTCTATCAACCTGTTTTTCATTATTTTTTTATTGTTAAAAGATTTAGTTGTTTATTTTAAATATATTTCATTGTTTTAAAATAAATAATAACCTAATAGTCTTTTTTCATTGCTATTAACAAAAATAACTATTTAAGTCGTACATTTGTTGTGGCGAATACTGCGGCGACGCGCAGCGAACAACAAGAAAATTGCAGAATCTTCGAGGAATGACGTAGAATATTCGACAGCGGGAAACGTCAAGTGGATGAATACTGTGAACAGCGAGGGAACGAGAGAATGTGCGATAGACGGCAGAACGCATTGACACATTAAGTTAAACTTTTGGCAAATAAAATTAATCTTTTGGCAAATAAATTTAATCTTTTGGCAAATAAATTTAATCTTTTGGCAAATAAAATTAATCTTTTGGCAAATAAATTTAATCTTCTAGCAAATAAATTTAATCTTTTGGCAAATAAAATTAAACTCTACTGTAGTACTAAACTGTATTTGAAAAAGTAAAAAATACACTAAAAAACTGCTGTTGCTGTGCTAGGAAAGCATTTTTTTTTACTTTTGACGCTTAGTTTTACTGCGCCAATATCAAGAGTTAACCTGCAGGATAGCTGAAAAGTGTTTTTTGGTGTTTCTGTTCTGTTGATTTCACTGCTACCTTCGAAAATGTTTTCTTTTTGGAAATTTCAAGACATAAATAAAATTTTTTTGTACCTGCATTTGAAAATATATTAAGGGAGATTTGGAGCACTTTAGATGTTTTTTATCGCATTTGGCCAGAATGCGTGGTTTGGTTGCAATAAAGTGTGCCAGATGGTTTGACGAATATTTGAAACTATGCTGTGTCAGAACTGTTTGAAAGTGAGCAGTTAAATCAACAGAACAGAAAAACCAAAAAACACTTTTCAGCTATTCTTCGGGTTAACTCTTGATATTGGCGCAGTAAAGCTAAGCGTCAAAAGTAAAAAATGCTTTCCTAGCACAGCAGTTTTTAAGTGTATTTTTTACTTTTTCAAACACTGTTTAGTACTACAGTAGAGTTTAATTTTATTTGCCAAAAGATTAAATTTATTTCCCAAAAGATTAATTTTATTTGCCAAAAGATTAAATTTATTTGCCAAAATATTAAATTTATTTGCCAAAAGATTAAATTTATTTGCCAAAAGATTAAATTTATTTGCCAGAAGATTAAACTTATTTGCCAAAAGATTAATTTTATTTGCCAAAAGTTTAACTTAATGTGTCAATGCTATATATATGGCCGCTGCTACAGCAACGGAAATCCGTCAAGTATTCAAGGATAATCGTAACAATTGGTGCCAGAAGTGGGATTGTTAAATAAATCTAGACACCCAGCTACTTTCCAGGTCTTCAAGCTCCATTTAGAGAATACAGCTACAAATCATTGGGGCGTGGAGGATAAATCCGCTGCGCTGTTCGTTGCATTAAAAGGACCTTCAGCGGAAATCTTGCAGACTATTCTTGACTGTGAAATTAACAGTTACGATGCGTTGGAAAGGCGTTATGGTAGCGAGCATAGGAAGCAGATCTTGACATGTCGCGACAGGGAAGTGTCACTTAAGGTTGGTTACGACAACCAGTATTGTAGCAGATGGTTGGTCTTAGAGGAAGCCCCGAATATTCCACTAGCAACGGAAGCGGTTAGTTGGGCAGAGGTTGGCAGTAATGCAGACGGAGTGGTTTCGTCAGGAGAAGGAAGCGGCTCACCGATACAGGAAAGGCGTGACGGTTCCGGCAGCTCAGTGAAGAAGAGGAAGTCACAACAAGGAAGTGGTCATGGCAAGCCAGGCAGTGTTTCCTTCAGGAATAGAGCCACTGAAGCACGTTACAAGGGTGATACGCCGGTAGCCGGAAATGGAGGCACCTCTGGAAGCAGAGGATGCAAAGGCAAGCATTAAAGCCTGAGGCCCGGGATGAGGTTATGCATGTCCGGTCAATGAAGTTGACGTCGGCGGAAGAGTGAGATGTGGAAACACTAGGCAACGTTTCAGCGTGAGGATCCGGATTTAGCAAGATATGCTTATCCGGCGAAAAGGGTGCCCATGAGAAGAGACATGGTCTGGTCACCACCAGTGACCGGCAGAAGCACGGCCTTTTCCTAAAATTTTATAATAATATTATTTTGTACCGAAATTCTACTTCACTATCTTTCAACAAGTGGCATCCAATATTTACTGAAATAAATATCGTATTTCTTGCATTTTCCGGAAATACCTTTATATGGGAAGTGGGCGTAGTTATCCGATTTCGCTCATTTTCAATGCCAATCTACCTTGGATAAAGGGAAACCTTCATACCAAATTTCGTTGAGATATCTCAATTTTTACCCGAGCTATCGTGTAAACGGACGGGTTTATATTCTTTATTGATTTTTTTTGGACTTAGCACATTTTCATACCACTGTATAACAACAAGTAAGAACGACATTACGGTAACTTTTTTTGGTTTGATGTAATTCTTACTGCATTATTTATTTATTTGGTCTACTGAAAAATGTTTTCTTACAGACAAATGAGAATAAAACATTTAGATATTTAAGTATGTGTGATATATTACAGAGTAGACTAATTATACATATTAATTTGTAATAATAATAATATAAAAAACCGGTTGGGTAGCTGGCAAGGCCTAGTCTCCTGTCTACTTTTGGGTGCGGCGGGCGGAAAGACCTAGTTTCCGCTCCGCGCTGTGGACAGGCTGTTGACCATGGTCGGAAAGGCCGAGTTTCCGATCCATGTTCCCGAAGTCATTACTTTGAATGTGTGGCAAGCGGAAAGCTCTAGTTTCCGCTCCGCACTGTGGACAAGCTGTTGATCATGGTCGGAAAGGCCGAGTTTCCGATCCATGCTCGTATTGTCTTACGCGGTCGCGAAAATATACGAAGCCGATTACAATTGTACTAAGCAGTCATAGATAGTGTGTAATTTTTCATTACCGGTTAACGATATTAATTTATTTAGTTACAAAACCGCGATTCAGGTATGTCGAAGCAATCACAATATTTGTTAAAATCTTTGCCTAAACACCGTAAAGCATCATGCATTTAAAAGTTTGATTTACAAATGCGCAACACAACCGTGGCGCAGCCGGGAAAGTATGCGAGTCGACCACGTTTACCTCATAAACTGAACAGAAATACAGTTCACCAGTTGAACGATAAGGTGCAATGTTTACTTGTTATTTATTTAAAATCTCAAATAAGGTTTTCTTAATGGTAAAAAGAGAGTAGGAGGTGTCAAAATAGTCGTAATGCTTTTTAAAGTCCTGGCATAGGCAACGAAAAGCATCATGCATTTCAAAATTTGTTTTACAAATAGTTAGCTTAATGAGCTTGTAATGTCTAGAAGGTCTAGAAGGAATACGAAACGTGATCTGGTTCAGTAGAAAGGGACTATTGACCATCCCGTTCAAGATCTTAATCATGAACAAAACCCCAAGCATCTCTCCACGGCTGTGAAGCGTTGGCAAATTTATGAGCTTCAAGCAGCTTTTGTACAGTGGGAGATTTAATGACGAATGCCAAGGCAAATTGTTTAATGCAAATAATAAGAATTGTTTCTGTACCGACTCGAGTCTGTCAGCATGCGTTTGATATCTAGGGTTCCATACGACGGATCTGTATTCTAAGATCGGCCTGACTAGGGAGGTGAAGAGGTCTTCAGTGACATAAGGATCTCTGAATTGTTTAGCCCAACGTTTGATGAAAGCTAAGACGCCCTTGGCTCTATTAACACAATAGTTTACATGGGACTTCAATTCAAGCTAAGGGTCCATGGTTTCGCCTAGATCGATGAAATTAGTCACCTGATCAACACTATGTTCACAAATGCGGTAGCTATATGATTGAAAGGGTCTTTTAGAGAACCACATAAATTTACGCTTTTACAAGTTAAGTGACATAGAATTTACTTCGCACCATTTAAACACGTTACTAAGGTCCGCCTGTAATTGTTCCCTTTGTCCTGGAGCACCAATGAACTTAAATAACTTAAAGTCGTCTGCGTACATTAAGCAATTCGAATACTTCAAAATATTTGGAAGATCGTTGATGAATAAAAGAAACAGAAGGGGGCTAAGGTGGCTACCTTGAGGTACACCTGACCTCACATGAATTACCCGACATGAGCATTTTTTAAAGATAACCCTCTGTTTCCTGCCAATGAAATAAGAAGAAAGCCAGC